AGTCATTGATGGAACTCCTATCAGTTCAGGTTCCATTACCTGCAACACCCCAGTACTCAAACTTGAGATTCCCCTAGGAAAATCAACATTTTCAGACACCATCTCTTTAGATGTTATACCAATGAAGTACCCAGTCATCCTAGGTCTTCCATGGCTTCAAAGGCATGATCCAACTATCAATTGGAAGCATTTATCGCTTGGGTTTAGCTCAAATCCTGAGCTCAATACTGAAAAAACCCTTCAAGCCTCAGTTACCCCTATTCAGGTCCAAGACTCAAACTTGTCCCAGATCAAGGATTTTGACCAAACTATGGACGATATATCATCTCTGATATGGGTTAAACCTTTCCAACCTGTCCTGGAGATAGCAGCTACTTCAGATTTGGAGAAATCATCTCAGGAGGTCATTTTGCCTTTAGCATACCAAGACTACCAACATCTTTTTGACAAGTTCAGGTGCTGAGTCCTTAGCAGTTGGTGTAGAGGTGTAATTGTTGAAATTTCTTGTTGGATGCCAGTCTTGGTTCTTCTCCTTTCTTCTTTCAAAAAGCCTATCATCAAGTCTGACAGCTTTCTCTATAAGCGTTTGAAGTGTTGTAGGGCGTTCTTCTTTGCTGAGTTCATCCTTAATAGAGCTCTTGAGCCCTTGGTAGTAAGTGAAGACTAAGGCTTCTTCATTCCAAGTCAAGTGAGAAGTGATTCTCCTAAATTCTGTTGTATACTGAGCAGCAGAGGTCTTTTGACATAGCTTCTGTAGCTCTCTTTCTGCTGTAGCAGTTTCGTTGATGTCTCCAAAGGTCCTGGTAAGTTCCTCTTGAAACTGGTCATAAGAGGTAATCAAAGGTGTAGTGGTATTTTGGTTGTTGCCACTAAGTCTTCTAAGATATGGCTCAAAGAAGTTGAATGCAGATCCACGGAGGTAGCTGGCAGCGAAATAGATCTTCTGAATGTCTGAGGTGAACTGATGAGGCCTGAGGGTGAAGTAGATGTCCAGTTGCATAAGAAATCCCTTCAACTTCCTCCTGTCTCCATGGTATAAATCTGGTGTTTGGTACTCGAAATAGCCAGAGGAGCTGTGGGAAGCTCTGTATGATGTGTCTGAGTTGAAGATTGTGTTGCTGAAGTGTTGGCTTGAAAGGTGTTTTCCAAATTCTCAAGTTCGTTTGCTATAGTTTGTATAAAGGCAAACAGTTGTTGCATCTGCTGTTCAGCAGTAGTTGTAGGAGCTTGGTCGTCCTCCATTGTAGTATCGAAGTGCTGCTATAGAAATAGTTGAAGCTTGAAGCAGGCAAGGTGTAATGGTGGGTGCACCAGATATGAGAATCTAGCCACCCAAGGAAGGGATGAATTTACTAAGACAACACACTGTCTTAGAAAAAGAGCCAAAGGGTTGTAGCTTAGACTATTCCACAACGCAGCAATCAGGTGTATGATGTGGTGAAGTGGTTTAGACAAGTTGCAACAAATGTTGAGTCTGAGAACTCAGGGGTAAGTCAGAGGTTAGCACCTCACTGACTTTTCAAAAACAGAGAATAACAAGATCAATGCTTGGAAGCTTGGAAAAGACGTAGAAGTATGTGCTAGTCGATTTACTGTATTGCCTGCTTGCCCTTTCTTAAGGAAAGGGCAATCCTATTTATGCCAAAGGAGTGTAGTTCTCTTATTTTTCATGACTTTCCATGACTAACCAGGCTTGGTAAATGTATTAGAAATCAAGTGCGACCCACAACTAGCTTGCTAATCATGTAGTGAACGTAAGAGAATCCCATAGAACCATCTCTTGGGTTCCTAGCCTATAGGAAGTGAAAAGGAGGTCCAAGGTCAGAGTACCTATAGACAAATTATGTCATAACTTAACCAATCTTGTGGGTAACTAAGGAGCGATGACGTGTAATAAATCATAGAGGGTTGTAGAAGCTTCTAGAGCTATCGTTCATGTTCCTAGGCCTCTAGTTGGTAGAGATATGCCATGTGGTAGTATTGGCCCACCCCCTTAAGGAGGAGATTTTCTTAATAACTTGTTCAATGAGTGTCCAAATGATATGCCGTGATGTATGTAGCATAAACAGATGTAGTAGAAGAGTTTGCAGCAATCGTTGAGTAGTATTGCTTCTGTTGTTGGTGTGATAAGCCAAGATATGTATGGTGACTTGTAGGTTTGAGGAGGAGATTTCTAAGTTTGCTCTTGAGTTTGATAGCAAACTGAGTGCAACGAATGTCAGTATGACAGTATCCGTGGTACGTGGAGACGTCCTTGCGAGAGCGGGTAGCGGATTCAATTCGTTGTTCCGGCGCCTTTCCTAATCGAAGGCAGTAAGTTCTCGTACCATGGTCTGGTATTCTCCATTCCATTGGTTTTTGATGATCGCGACGCGGCTGCGGAATTGGGGAGTCAACTTGTTCCACATGTACCGAAACCATTCTGACTCGGAGACTTGTCCTGTGATAGCTGCACTTTGGAAACGAGCCTTGAACTCTGGGAAGGTTTCGCTAGCATGCCCCTTCTCTCCCATTTGCAGGTCGTCGAACAGGTTCCTGGCCTGTTCCGTCTCGTTGCCTGTGAGGTAGTATGAACCTAGTAGATCCATCATCTCCTCAGCACTGTGGAACCCATGCATAGCGGACAGGTATTGGGGCTTTAGGTAGGTCTTCTCCAGGCCAGTCGTAGTTCCCCATATCAACGCTCTTCTCGAGACATCGGTAAAGTAGTTGTCCTCATTGACTACGAGTCGATCCCGAATCGAAGCGCTCCATTGTAGGAAGGTATGGTCTATCCCATCACTGAGAGGAAGGATTTTCGCAGAGATGGTTGATTTCTTATAGCGATTCGGAGGGTCCTCGGTGAGCATTCGTGACAACCCTATCGATGGAGAACGAGTGTTCCGAAGAGGTGGCAATTGAACTGTCTCGGGGGTGTTTCGTGTGCGAGGCGTTCGTTGCTCCGTAGCTTCGACTGTGGGTATGGGGGCGTCCACCGGCGGTGTGGATGGGATTCTGGTCTGGGCTGCCGTAAGGGTAACTAGTAGATCCTTGACCTCCTGTATCTGTGCTTCGAGGTGGGCCATTTGACTCGGGATGTCTTCGGATGGCACAGCAGTCGTAGCTGCAGCGGTGGTTTGTCTGGTAGTCATTCTGGGCAGTTGACCGTCGTTGTCTTGGGGTATGTTTGATGTCGGCTTTTTCGACATATTGCCTCAGGTGTGTATCAGTACCGATACGAAAGAGCTTGACTTCCGGTAGCTTGTAGCTATCAACGCTCTTGTCCACAATTTCCCCTGTGCTAGGAGGGGGTTCTTAAGGATCTCGTATCCTATTTGGCGCCAACGCGTCGGCGACTTTACCAGCTTGTTATAAAGAATCAAACCCTGATCCACTGGCTGTCTGTGAGATCTCTGGAATCACGTCTATTTGAAGTCGTCAGGTCTCTCCTCTGAAACATCACCGAGTCGCAGTCGATGGTGTAGCGGTAGTTCTCCTGAGTCGTTCCGGTGTGGGATATTATTTAAGTACGGCCGTCCCCGGCAAGCGTGATCTTTTTTGTATAATGTAAGGACACAGGGCACCCAGCTCACAGTAATAGCATATGAGAGTGGAGTTGGAGGCTAAACGGATGCTATCCTATAGGTCTACTACGAAGGATACAAAAAAGATGATGGGGGAATCCCGTGAGTCGATTGTCTCAAGTACCCGAAACCCATCCGACTCGGTTCTGACTCGGTTGGCCCACCCAAATGATCACACGTGACCCCGCAGCTACCCAGAGTCTACTCCCTAGAATGAGAGACGAGAAGGCATCCTTACAAGTATGGCCGTCCCCGGCAGGCGTGATCTTTTTTGTATAATGTAAGGACACAGTGCACCCAGCTCACAGTAATAGCATATGAGAGTGCGAGTCAGAGGCTAAACGGATGCTATCCTATAGGTCTACTACGAAGGATACAAAAAATATGAAGAGAGGAACCCCCGTTGGGTCAATCTCCTTAAGTACCTGAAACGGGTCCGACTCGGCTAAGCTGCCTTCACCCTCACCACGTGACCGTGACTTGTCCGACTCAGATACCTTCCATCACGGAGGGAGAGGAACCCACGTTGGGTCAATCTCCTCAAGTACCCGAAACGGGTCCGACTCGGCTAACCTGCCTTTACTCTTATCATGTGACCGTAACCTGCCCGACTCAGATCCTTTCCATCACTGAGGGACAGGCATCCTTACACTTGCAATATACCGTGTCTATAGCAATATACCGTGTCTATAGCAATATACCGTGTCTATAGCAATATACCGTGTCTATAGAGCCAGGCATATGACTCCGTACCCAGCTTGTACGAGTAACATTCTTTGACGACGATGAGCTTTGAATTGATGGTAGAGGAGGAGATTCTACCAATTGAGAGTTAAAGATCTCAGAATTAAGATCGGAAATTTCACTAGATTCTGGCAGCGCTGATGACATTTTGACAGGTGGTCTGGCTAATCTGGGGAAAGTTGGGAATAACGTGGTAGAAAAGTTTGTACAAGCATTGCACGGGCCTTGTAAGTCATAGGATTAATCACATGTTTAGTGCATAATCTTGTGAGATTCTCATGAGATTTCACATTAATATTGTGTATTGTACGGTGCAAAGATTTAATCTTTCTGTATTGTACGGGCAATATAACGCTAGTAATACTAGCGTAAGATATCTTGCGCTAGTAGACAAGATCTCATCCTACTATCGACCACACTGGGGGTGCTCAACTACAGTGTATTAGATAGTATTATACGGCCCGTATACGGGTTCATTTTTGTAACCAGTGCGTATACGATACGGGTTCAACTCAATACGCACTGGCACTGGTTAATACGATACGGAGCCCGTATACTGGCCGTATACGGGCCGTATTAACCACGTGACACAATGAAAAATGATCTGAAGTATATAACTTACTTCAATGAGGGCTTGTAGTATAGAAAGTAGTGCATTGGGCTATCTAGTATATTCTAAAAGCAGCACTTGATCTACATATTGTAGAACTGGGAGAGAAGCTCCTCGGATTCCTTGGTTGGGGACAACAGCAACAATCTGTCGTCAGATGGGAGGATCCACTTGTACTCAGCTGGCTCAGTCTCTTCTCTCAACACCTCCCAGGCCCGAAAGGCGCCAAGTGCATCAGAATCCAACTGAAAGCCATAGAACTCAGTATCATAGCCATCAGGGTACCAGTCAGCAGGGCCAGGAAGGTAGACTTGTTCGCCATCGAAGCTCCATGATGCAAAGTTCCGCCAAACTGCCATCTGTGTCTTGGTGAAGTAGAGGTGCGGGGGGTCTTCTCATAATAAGTCCTGTAGATGTTAGCTGATTACTATAAATATTACTATAAAGTTATTAACCTGTATGCTCGCCATCTAGTTCTTGTAATGCAAGAACAGAGTGTTCTAATTGGCCAGTTTCGGATATATAGTGTGCGATTATACCAAGAATTGCAAGAGAGTTGGGAGAAGTCCAGAGGTCAACTGTAAAGTGGGCTTTTGACAGAGCTGATTGTACATCGCGTTTGATCTGTTGCTTTTGAGCCTTGTATGTATGCAACGTCCAGGTCTGTATTGTTGAAATGAGTTAGGTAGCCAGTTATCGATCTCTGGATTAAGGTAATGGAGTAATGCCCTAAATTCCAATATTGTTGCCATACGGAAAGGGACTCCACAAGTTGTAATCCATCGTACATATAGCTGCTCAACAACAGCAGGGTCTAAGGCTTCAGTTGCAACAGTAGAAAGGCAGCGGCGTTTATGATTTATCTCTTTAGCTTTGTCGAAAGCTTCAGCGATATTGCTTTGAATTGAAGTAGTTCGAGATTCCTGAGTAGAGGATATATCTATGTCGTGTTCTTTTAAGTGCCTTGTAATAATCTTTGTTCCGCCAGACTCAAGATACTCTTTTAGACAGTATCTACAACGCCATATTAACCTGCCCTGGTAGTTCCGAATGATATCGCAGCGGCTAACAGGTGTATGGTCCCAGACTTTCGAAAATCGTCTGCTTGCAGTTGTTGTTACAGAAACAGAGGGAGAGGATAGCGTACGTTTAAGTATAGGCGAAGTCGGGGTTTCGAATCGTTCACTGACAAATAGCTCACTGTCGAGCTGTGACAGTATATCCGAAGGTTGTGAAGTCATTGTAGTAATATATAGTATATAACGATCTATCAATTGAAGTTATTCGAACCCCTTGTTTCGAATTTTAAGCCTCAATACTAGCTGTATACGGCTAGTAATACGGCCCGTATACGGCCAGTATTGAGAACTGAATACGCACTAGACCCGTATTGGGATTTTGGAATACGCACTGACTCAGTATTGCCGTATACGATACGGACCCGTATACGGGTCGTATACGACCCGTATCGCCAATACTATCTAATACACTGCTCAACTAAGCCCCCGAAAAGCGGACCACATACCTATGGGAACCAGAGGATTGTCTTCCCATTTACAATGTATAATACCTCTAATCTCTCGAGAATGGCCATACCCGAAGTCATCGAACTCCGATCTGCGAACCGCCATGAGCATAGTATAATGACCAAGCAGTGGATGCTATGAAGTATTGTTCATTTCTCGCTACCCGTCCCAAGGGTAGGAACAGAGACTTCATGGTAGGTAGGCTGCGCACTGGGTACTCACGAGTCGAGTAGTAGAATTTTTACTCACCCAGCTGAGTTACGCACTCATGTCCCGAGTATTGTTGAATGAGGATTACTCACTTGCTGAGTACCTAGTATGGGTCTTGGCAACTCAGTTATATCACGTGTTTGATTATCCATTACTTATGTTAAAAACGGGGCGCGACTTCATTGATCAAGACGCCATAACTCCATAACTCCATAACTCCATTCCCATATTGTTAATGTCCTATTCCACACTATAACCTTTGGCCTTTAGGTACCAGGTTACCAGAAAGTTGCCAGAACTCATCTGACCTTCATTCCTGGGTGAGACACATTTCCATCGATTAAGCCCACAGCTCCATGATTAAACATCATATCCCGCAAACGCCGAACCAATATCATATCCTTTGCCTGAATTGTCACTCTCTTCGCATGAATAGTGAGAAGGTTTGTCACTATAACTGTTAGTATGTCCCTGTCACTATGTTTAAACATCATACTCTCAAATTCTCGAATGAGGAAGCATTCAGCAGCTTCCTGAAGAGCTAGGATAGCAGATTGCTGGAAGCGAAGATTGGACTTGAAGTCTTCTGCAATTTCCCTAACAAGACGCTGGAATGGGAGCTTTGGGATAATTAGGCTAGTATCAAGTTGCTGTCTTCTGATATCGCCGAGATGCAGATATGGATCCATTAGCCTTAGTATTGCAGCAAAGTCAGACATTAAATGGGACTCGGGGCCAGAGAGAGGAATATGTAAATGAGGCTGATCTCTATCTTGATGCTCGTAAGTTTCTGGTAATCTTCTAGTAATCTTATTCTAACTTGTATAGCACATGTGTACACAAAGATATTGCTATTTTGGCAACAAAAGGAAGAGCAATTTCCTGGTCTATCAGCAATGGCTCGTGATATACTTTGTATTCCTGCTGCTGAGTCTGGAGTTGAGCGAGTCTTTAGTGCCGCAAGGGATGTGTGTGGCCACCGACGTGGCCAACTTAATCCTGAGACGATTAAGAGTATTATGCTTGTATATTACTCTCGACAATACAAGAATCGTCAATGTCATCGTGACAAGCTTGCAGATATGATGGATGTCGTTGATATGACTGAGGAGCAAGTAGAAGAAGAGTATGAGGCACAACGACAACAGATGTGCAATTCTATCGAGTTACAATATATCAGCGATGAAGAAGAACTACAATCAAATACACATATCCAAGAGACATATTCAAAGGTACAATATCCTCCGTTTAACCCTCAGCGGCCACAGCAACAGCAAGACTTATCACAAGCCACACATGAAGAATGACAAATGCGCTACCAACAAGGTGAAGAAAGAGATAGGGCTGACCGTTTTAACGAGACCTTATATGACATCCCAGATGACGATATCCTAGATAACGAAGATATAAGAGAAGATGGTAATAATGAGGAGCCTATACTTCCAACTATTCATGAAGATGAAGATGAAGATAAGGATATGCCGTCCTCGCCACCAACGCCTATCCAACATGCTCGGAAGACTGGAAGAGATTTACTTGATATCTTTCAAGCTACTCGTCAAGACCCCATAAATACTTTAGGTATTAGTAGGTCTGGCCGGCCTCATCAAGCAAGGTGGAGAGATGTTCTTAAGCATATATAATAGATAATAGCGTTCTGATAATCTTCTGATAATCGTGGTACTTAGATAGAGGAATATACATATTCGTTCTCACAGCTTACTAGAGATGGCGAGAGTGATGCTGATAGATGTTACTTTAACTTAACCATAAAACAGTATTAATCGTATGAGGGACTGTTCACATGATGCATAAATCTTACACGTGATAGCCGAGTACTCGCTGGGTTTTTACAGAGTAACTGAGTATTGACCTCACTCACCGAGTCGAGTAAAATTCAGCTACTCACCCAGCTGAGTAACCCACTGAGCGAGTGAGCCGAGTATTGAGCGAGTAGTGCGCAGCCTAATGGTAGGGGTTGACGGGTAAGGACATTCACATATCTCACTCACGCGATGTACGGAGTGTGTGCTTTGTTGCGGCAACAACGAACTTGTATTTCCCTACGATCTATACGCGAGTGGGCCGTGCATTCCTCCAAGATCCGAGCCGAGTCTAAAAGCACCACATCCGTTACTTCTCCGCCATGTTTGACAACTGCTGGTCACTGTTCCCAGCAAATTGTGGGGATAGTATAGAAGTGTAAGAGCGGGAGCACGAGTGAGAGCTTAGACGCAGTAAGGTTGCTCGTTAATACGCTTGCACCCGTTCGGCCCACAGCAGGCGATGGCTACAATCTGACCCGCAGGACTGCAGGTATACTACACGTATGGCATCAGCACATTGTTCATCGATAGAGTACGATGACGGGCAAGAGTGAAGTAGAGTAAATGGGAAACTTGCAACGCCGGGGCCGTCGCCACACTCTCTACCATAGCCACATCCATTCTCGCCAGGCGGGCTACTGCAAGTTTCGCGGGACTTGAGCGGGAAGGCCAGGTCGGCGGGGATGCTGACTGCGTGGGCAAGTAGGGCGGTATAAAAGAGGGCGAGGGTGGTGAGGAGCTTCATTTTGATTGTGGGTAGGTGCTTGGCTAGTTGGATTCAGGTTGGGTTAATTTGAACTTTGAGGTTGGGATTCAGGTTGACAAAGTGCAGGTTCCAGGGACCCCTTTATAGATGGGTTGCCGTCGTATTGTGAGAGTGAGACAGTAAGCAGTCGGTGAGTAGTTTTTGGGGATTTTCTCTTGACTCCAGATGACTTGGGGCCAGAATTAGGGACTTCACCCATCGAAATAGCGAAAGATGGCTTACGGCATCCCCGCGGCTTGTCATCGCGATGAGCGTAGCGACGGAGCCAATCGAGGAAATCAACATGTCTATGTACCACCTAATACCACGCATTATCAATCCTTCGCGCGAGCGAGATACATAGCTCAGCCGCCCTATCGTCTTACCCCAATGTCATACCTTCCCCAATCCAGTGCCTTTTTTCACCACTCCATCCGTCGGCGTACATAAATTGTGTGAGACGTATCTGTATATCACTGTCAGCATTCATACGTAAGCTCTTGGCTGGGTTTACATTTTGGATTGGTGGTGACAGAAATGTGGGTCACTTAGTATCGTGTCTTCGATGATATTATACGAAAATCACGGCATCCATCCGGATAGTCTGATGCAGATTCTCTCCCAGATAAAGTGTTTAGATCACTTCCAGGGGAATATTTTTGGTGAGATAAAGAATTTGGATCGTACTCGTGGATACCGACAAGGTTTGTGACTATAGGTGTCTCTCATCACACGTATGTGCTTTTCGGTTCGGGCCCTGACTTCCTCAGTTTTAGCTCAATCTCTGCACCTTCTGCCCTATTCTTCCCTCGAAACAGGCTTCCTGACCTGCCCCTTGCGCCCTCCCTGAAGACTTGCCTGCACGGATAGAGTATTGCGAGACACCTTCGGTGCAAACCCCGCCTTCTCCAACTGCGCCACGCGATACGTGGTTGATCCCAGCTTCTTGTCCTTCGGTTTGTTCTCCTCATAAGCGAACTTTATCTTCTTCGACACTCGCGACTTCTCAACTTGCACTGGAGCCTCGTCCTCCGAGCTGGCATCTTCCAGGAAATCTTCCGGAAGCAGATCCGGGAGAGTTGTGCGGTCGAACCTGGCCTTTGATGCCCGTCCTACCGGCTCGACGGTTATGCTTGAGTTCTCAATGGTGGCGGACTCATCAAGTTCCTCTTCTGCGTGCTTCCGCTTCTTGGCGGCCTTAGCTTGTGCTTTTAGCTGCGCGTCACGGTCTTTGCGCTTCTGGCGCTCAGCTGCTTCTTTTCTGAAACGGCAAGATTAGCTAGAGTTTGACAGAGTTTAAGGAAGGGTAGCTTACTGTTCTGCCGCCTTCGCAGCTTCGCGTGCAGCTCCTAGAGCTTTACTCTGCGCAGCTTCGGCGCCAACTTCCTCTGGGGCATCGTCATCCGAGCTCTCATCTTCGTCCTCTTGTATCCTCTCTGGCTCTGGCTCTGGGGCTGCTATAACTTCGACAGGGTCGTTGTCACTAAACTTTTTGTGCTTAGGTTTTGCCATAGGCGCATCGACAACAGCTGGAGCATCGGAAGCTTTCGTAATGGTACCCTTCTCCGCAAGCTCTTTCTGTTCTGTGGAACTGACGGTCTCTGCTCCAGGCTCCGCATCCACAGACTTGGCATTCCTCTTTCCTTTTGGCGTTGACTTCGGGGTGGCCTTCTTTGACTTTGCCGTTGGTGTAGGCGCGTAGGTTCTTCAGGCAACTCCTTGACTGGTATTTCCACGGCAAGGTGGCTCTGTGCTACGGCTTGGGAATTTTCGTCCTTATTCCGCACAGGTAGCTTTCGTCGTTTCGTGGGTGTGCCCGTTTCTTCATCTGTCGCCGCTTTCTTGCTCAGCTCAGTGCGCCTACGCTTCTTCGCGCTCTCAGATAGTAATTCGTTCGGCACATTGGCATTGCTATCGTCAAGGTTTATCAACGTCGCACTCGGGCCGCTTTGCCGCCTCGTCGTAACCATTGTTGATTTTGGGGCACCGGATTTCTTCTCGGCCGTTTGCTTCGTCAGAGATCGCCCGCCCGGTGATTTCTTCTCGTTTTTAGAAGCTTCGTCGTGCTTGTTGAAGGGGACGATATTGCGCCCGAGCTGAGGATTCGTGAGAACATTAGAAGAGTTCGGTTTGAGCGAGAGCCGTCATGCAGGGTGCAGGATGGCGTTTCAACTTTTTTTGAGAATAAAGTTCTTGGCCGCCGTAGAGAATTTGGTATCGTGCACGTACCAAGAGTTTATTTGCACGTGAGCAACCACTGCATCTCGAGGCATTCTGTATTTCATAATCGAAGAGCATGAACGCCCCTTGATATTATATCGATTATTTCGTATTTCTCTTACACGCGAAAGACTTCCGCAAACGCCACACACTAGCCGTGCCAATTTTAAGGGCCAATTGGCCGATTAGCCCGAGCTGGCTTAAAATGCAGTCGATGGGAGCTCTTCTCGGTCCACACAGCAGAGGCGCATTGAGTCGCTGTATTAAACCCTCGATACGGCCATTCTCGAGCATTCATGCTTGCAAAATAAAGGTGTCCAAGGCACCGTCTACTCGCCGGCAATCGAGACCCTTAAACGACCAAGGAAAACCCGATCGCCAGAGTCAACGGCGAGAATGGACAGAGGCGCTAATCGGGAATCGAAAAGCTACTATTGCTCAATTCACACTCGCCAAAAAGGCGGGAGCCTTAAAGATTGAACCTGAACATTCAATCGAACTTTTAAGCTCTTATTGCAATGCAGTGGCAGGACCTGGCTGGGAGATCCGTTTCTGTAGAGGTGAGCCTTAGTCCCGTGGTTGCGGCGTATCTGACCATCACAGAACACAAAATAGATCCTCCTACCTTAGCCATGGTTAGCAGGATCCTGAATAAGAATCCTGCTCGCCCTCTGAGGAAAATGGGGGAAAATATGATGATCTGCGCCGCAACGCTTGGCGACTTAAGTTCCATTGTCGCCGTCCTGAACAGATCTTTGCTGCAGGACAATCTTCACCATCCAGGTCTGCTAATACCCATGACCAAGCTCAAATTCTACGCCAACCAAGGAAATACAGAGGCAATGGTAATATACGGCCGCATCCTGGACCGCCAGAAGAAGCATGCCGAAGCTGCCGAGATGTTTCAGAAAGCTGCAGAGACTCCGCGTGACGGCTCCGTCGATGCTGAGATTGGCAACGCGTTGGTCCAGCAGGGAAATCTCTGTTATCGAGATGGCAAGAAGGAGGAGGCGAGGATGAGCTTCAAGAAAGCAGCGCTTGAGTTTGATAACCCAGAAGGTTACTATAAGTTGGCATCAATAATGCCAGACCAGGACTCATTAAAAGAGACCTACTTGCTCAAAGCTGCTGCATCTAGGATCAGAGAAGCAGTCGTTGAGGTTGCTGCCTTGTATGGGAGAACCGCAGGGTTACACGCATCGTCTGAGGAAAGAAAGCAAGCAAGACTTCTCGCGGTCGAATGGCAGAAGCTGGCGTCACATCAGGCGCCTACAACAAAGTGATATAGCTGCATAGAACGGGGGGGGTTCAGACATGGATCAAATGTATAATATGTATTATATGCAGTGGTTGATTTATTTGACTGTTTGGGTCTATCAAGCACTCGGTGCACACATACACTGTCTTAACGTCACCCCCCCCCCAGCCTTAGGTGGTAGCTGTCGATCTTCGCGTCAAGAAACAGAAGGTACTTCCACAGTGGGATTTAAGCTAACCCCACTATTTCCACCACGGCCATAAGTAATATGAGTTGGTGTGATCACTGGATCTCCTTTCAGCGCCTTCTCTCTTTCAGCTCCATAGCCCATCCCTCTCCGGCTGACAGCGCCATTGGCATTTTAGCGACGCCCCTTGCACCACTCGCATCTTTATACTGCCAGCGCCCTCGGTAATTGCCTACCCACCTATAAACAAGCCTTTGTTTGAATGCCTCCCGCCGCTAGACACGTCACAAACATGAGGCGTCAGTAGAATGGACTCGAGGCCCTCATGGCCTTTGGGCCGTCTCATGATCGCATCGCACGGCACCAATGGCAATCCATCGGCCGCACAGCAATTTGGAGCTTGTGGAAAGCATGCCTCTCACACTCCTTCGAAAAATCAATGTACCTCTGGACAGAAGAAAGCGCCTGCAAATCCTACCACGCAATGATGCTCCAGCGCGTCCTTTCGGAAAGGGTGCTAAGCACCAAAGAAATATACCGAAATGCTGTCTACAACGAGACCAGCTTTACATAAGTCTGGAATGAGAACCCGCGAGATATCCGCATCCTTAAGGGACCGCAATGCCTCCACAATCTCCCTTCACATTTAGACTACGACCTAAGTCAACTACAGACTACAAATACCCTCACAACGGACCCCATTGCCCCAACTCAAACGCCTGAAGAGGGACAGTGGGACACTATACCGATATCACCAAGTGCTACAGTCCACATTTGATTGAATTATAAAGGGCGATGACGGGCCTCTCTTTACCCATACAAATGAGAACCCCCAACCCCGAAATACCAAACAAAAGAGTGATGGAACAACGGTTCAACTCCGTTACGAAGCTCCCGGTGGCAACATACCTCTCCTACCTATCCTAACGGATAGGAGACCAAAAACAACACCAATGCTTCTTCTTGTGGCTTTTCGTTGTTTTTGCCTCTTTACTTAAGATAGACCAAAATGACAGTGGATTTCCCGGTGATTTTTGTACTATTCTTATAACATGTGCGTACGTAGGTGTAATGGTGAGAAAAGTCGGGGATTTCTCCTATTCCCCTCTGTTTCCCCCTTTTGTTGAAATAGGTTTTGAATTTCGAGAAATGACTGTGAAATCTCCAACCATAGTGTTGTATCTATGTTGTACAGAGTTGTAGTCTTGTAAAAATGAATGTATGATTCTCACTGAGATATCTCCATGGGAAAGTTGATGACTTTATGAAATACGAATGTGTAGTTTAACGATGTATAATAGTAGGTGGCTTTAGTGCTTATGAGTGTTACTACGGAACAAGAAGGCTGGCCAACTACAGGACAGGAAGGAGGGAGGTCGCATGAGACCGGCCCTGGTACCTGGAGGGGCAGCGGGGAATAGTAGTTCCGAAAGTATCACGTGACGGACTCGCAGGATGATGAGAAGAGTCCTAAGAGTCCAGGACTCCGAGGACTCGAGTGAGTTCCCAGGAGTCCACTAGGCACGTGACGGACTCGCAGGATGATGAGAAGAATCCTAAGAGTCCAGGACTCCGAGGACTCGAGTGAGTTCCCAAGAGTCCACTAGGCACGACGCCACTATATAAGTAGATAGTATTTCCTTAGATAGGAGCTTCGTGCTCAACTCAATACAGTATTTGTTATATACTAGTAACGTGTTACTTGAAGCCTTTGTGTCTGATCCCCTGCCTCCTCTGATAAGTAAACCTTTACGCAAGAGAACCTCTGTGTCTTCTATCGTTTAGAAGTCAGCGTTACACTTTGAGCACCACTTCTACGAGGCACTGGCTCATACACAACGCAACATGTCTGTCGTCAGTTCGAAGGGGAAAACCCCCACCACGCCAACTTCGTCTCAGAGGTCTAAGCCTGAGAATGAAGAGATGCCCGACGCACCCACCGTCAACGAACTCAAGGAAACTCTACGCGTCAAGTTGCCCGACACTTACTCCGGCAACCGAAAGGAACTTGAGGTGTTTTTGCTACAGGTCGAACTGTACCAGCACTTCAATGACGAGAAGTTTCCCACCCAGGAGAGCTATGCCCTGTGGACTGCGTCCTACCTTAGGGGGGAAGCCCTGCGATGGATCGAACCATTCCTCAAGGACTATTTCAAATATGAAAGTACCAATGGAAGCATGACAACTACGCAGACTATGTTTGGCAGCTGGAATGGATTCTGTAAGGAAATTCGACGCATGTTCGGAGACATCGATGAGATTAAGACCGCAGAAGACCATCTGTTTGCACTTAAGCAGACTGGCAGCGCCCTCACATACTCCACAGAATTCCAGAGATACGGCAATCAGACAGGATGGGACGCCAGCGCACTCATCAGCCACTACCGACATGGGCTGAAGAGCCATATACGTATGGAACTTGCCCGTTTGGAACAACAACCAACGGACATGGTAGCGCTAATCGAACATACGGTCCGAATCGACAATCGACTATACGAATTCCAGAAGGAACGTCGGACCTATGACAAGCCCAAGAAAAGTTACCCCTACCGGGGAAACGAGGGCAGACGACGGGATCAACACCCGCAAGACAACCGTTGGGCGGACCCAATGGAACTCGATGCCACGTTCAAACCTGGACGACCCCGTGACCCTAAGAAAGACAGACAATTCAAGGAACGACTCTGTTTTAACTGCGACAAGCCAGGCCACATGGCCCGAGACTGCAGACAGCCAAAGAAAGGGAACGGCGGACGCAAAGTCGGCAAACAACTCAATGCCACCTGGACAGGACAGTTGAACGCAACGTTTGTGAACAAACAGGACTGGGGAATAAACGGCGAAAGCACCCCAGAAGACGAGAGCTCAGATGAAGGGTCGGAGGCGGAATCGTTCACCGTCTCGGAACAGGAGTGTAACGCTGACTTCTAAATGATAGAAGACACAGAGGTTCTCTTGCGTAAAGGTTTACTTATCAGAGGAGGCAGGGGATCAGACACAAAGGCTTCAAGTAACACGTTACTAGTATATAACAAATACTGTATTGAGTTGAGCACGAAGCTCCTATCTAAGGAAATACTATCTACTTATATAGTGGCGTCGTGCCTAGTGGACTCTTGGGAACTCACTCGAGTCCTCGGAGTCCTGGACTCTTAGGACTCTTCTCATCATCCTGCGAGTCCATCACGTGCCTAGTGGACTCCTGGGAACTCACTCGAGTCCTCGGGGTCCTGGACTCTTAGGACTCTTCTCATCATCCTGCGAGTCCGTCACGTGATACTTTCGGAACTACTATTCCCCGCTGCCCCTCCAGGTACCAGGGCCGGTCTCATGCGACCTCCCTCCTTCCTGTCCTGTAGTTGGCCAGCCTTCTTGTTCCGTCGTAACACTCGCTCCCTTCCCCTGGGCATTCGTCTCGAATCCTATAAGTACGTCCATGTCCCTGGGACTCTGCTGCTCCTCAGCGAGTCCTTCAACATGCAACATGCCTACTGACACTGCCCGCAAACTCCAGGAACGCAACGATCTTGTCCGTCGAATAAAGAACCACGGATACGAACTACCCGAAATGGATTCTTGCTCGAACTGCGTGAGGCGAAACGTTACTTGCGTGTCGTCTCCAAATGATTCACGGCGGTGCGCCGAGTGCGTTCGTCGCAACTTGAAAGAAAAATGTGACTGTATGGGTCCTGAGCATCCCGACTGGGTGAAGCTCGAACGGGAGGAGGATCGCCTGGATCGCGAAGAGGAAGAAACCCTTTCGAAGTTACTTCGTCTGCGGAAGCAGAAACGCCTCATCCGAACCCGTGGTAAAGATATGCTCCGGCGAGGTTTGAAAACCCTCGACGAGCTTGATGCGGCAGAGGAGGCCGAACGTGTGGCTGCTGAGAAGCGTGATGCTGTTGAGGCCGAGGAACAGGCAGTTAGCGCTGCCTCCTCGTCTGTGACCGGGACCCCCGCTTCCTCCAATCCACTGGCCTACTCCCCTGCATCTTGGGATCAATGGCTGGCGGATGGCGGCGTCGATATTCCTCCAGCAGTTCTTTGCTGATGTTCCTTGTTGGTTCCCACGAATTATCGGTAGGTTCGTAATTTTCCCATTTTATCAAAAACTCTTCTCGACGTCCTACTAACCTTCTGTCTAGGATCGCTTCGACCTCATATTCGATTATCTCATTCTCGGGTTGGAGTTCGGTGTCGGTCGCAACTGGGGTATTTCCTCTTGCTGGTTCCAGTAGTGAGACATGAAATACCGGGTGTAGTCTAGACTTCCTGGGTAGCTGCAGTCTGTAATTAACTGAGCTGACTTTGTTCAATATTTTGAATGGTCCCAATTTCTTGAAGTCCAACTTTGTGCTTGGTCGTTTCGTTTTGATATGTTTCCGGAGTAGGTATACTTTATCCCCCTCCTTGAAGGCAGGTTCCATACTGCGCTTCTTGTTTGCGTATGCGGCGGATCGTTCATTTAAGAATTGGATGTCCGTCGCAAGTTGTTCGTGGAACGATTTCAGTTGTTCCACCACGATTAGGGCTTGTTCAGCTCGTGATTCATCCGGTCTTGGTTGCCTATATGCTTCTGGCTGGTAGCCATAATTGGCAAAGAACGGTGAGACTTTCGTTGCTTCTGTCATCGCGCTGTTATATGCAAACTGTGCGATGGGTAAGATCTGAACCCAGTTATCCTGTTGATGATTGACATAGCTTCGCAGGTACTGTTCAAGGGTCTGATTTAATCTTTCTGTTTGGCCGTCTGTCTGGGGATGAAAAGCTGTTGATAGCTTATGATTTGTTCCCAGTAGCGCCATCAATGATTTCCAGAATTTCGAAGTAAAGAGCTTGTCTCTATCTGAGATGATTTCGTCTGGCATCCCATGATCGGCTAATATGACTCGAATGAAGGTATATGCGAGCGCCTCGGCGTCGCTAGCTTCTAGATATGGTATAAACTTCCCATATTTCGTGAGTCTTTCCGTGATGACGAGGATAGAGTCGTATTCTATTCCTGTTAACGGGTCCTTGGAGGGTGGAAGCTTGACAATGAAGTCCAAAGCTATTGATTTCCACGCTCCTTTTGGTACTGGTGTCGATTTGAGTTGTCCGTATGGCAGATGCCTATTGGATTTTGACTTGCTGCAAATGTCGCACTCTCTTACCACTGTCTCTACCTGCTTCCTCATACCTGGGAAGTAGTAGTGTCGGGTGATTCGTTCGAAGGTTCGCGTTACTCCCTGATGACCGTGTGCTGGTAACGAGTGTTGTTCTTGCACCAGCGGGCGTCTCATTTGACTTGGGACATACACTAACCCTTTGTATCGAATCAATCCTTGTTCGTCGATGGTGAAGTCGCCTTCGACTTTGGACAAGACTCGCTTGGCGCATTCGTCTGTTGCGTAAGCTTTCTTGAGTCTTTCCTCGAGTTCTGTATCTTCGATGACTGAGATCGTCGCTAGTAACTCGTTGTACTGTATCCCTGCATCTGTTTTCTTCAGAATTGCTCTAGGTCTTTCTTCCTTTGGGCCGGCGTAGTCGGTCCGTCTGCTGAGAGCGTCTGCTCTTGCATTCTCGGAGCCCTTGCGATAGGTTATCGTGAAGTTGTAGGCTGCGAGGGTTTCTGCCCAGCGGACTTGTCTGCGGTTTAAAACCTTGGTCGTGGTGAAATATATGAGGTTCTTGTGATCCGTCCATACCTGCACAGGGTAGGTGGATCCCTCAAGATATACTCGCCACTGCTCAAAGGCAACGACAATAGCCAGTAGCTCCTTGTCGTGGATGTCGTAATTGAGTTCCGCGGGTGACAGTTTCATAGAGTAGTACGCGATTGGTTTGAACTTACCGTTCTCGTCTGGTTGATTCAGACATGCTCCAATTGCGAAGTCAGAAGAGTCCGTTTCGAGGATGATCTTCTTTGCAGGGTCAAATGTAGCAAGGATAGGTGCTTCCGTGAACTTCGTCTTAAGTTCCTGGAAAGCAGCCTCTGCCTTGTCCGTCCATTTGAATTCGAGATCCTTTCTGGTAATCTCCGTGAGTGGTT